TTTATTTTTTTATTAGGTATATTTTGTTTTCATGTTCAAATTAAAAACTATTATGTATTTCTGCAGTTTTACCATTGTATAGGTTTCAATAAGTAAAGGTATAGATACTTTGTAAAATCTCAAATCCTCACTGTAAGTTTAAATATTCAACGAAGAAATATTTTTTTATTATTATTGTTATAATGACAAAGCTCAACTTTTTATGTCATTGTGTACTGTTTTTTAGGATCCCCTATTATGTTGTTCCGTTTATGGAAGTCACTGTATATTTGTACATGGTCTAAAATATAAACTATCATCAGCAATAAAACAATAAAAATATTTATTTAATTTTTATGATAAAACTGGATAATTTATATTTTAAACGAGGTTTAATCTAAATACTTTTTTATGTAAAATATGCAAATATAATTACATATTGGTTTGTTTTTTTATTAGGTATATTTTGTTTTCATGTTCAAAATAAAAACTATTATTTCTTCAGTTTTACCATTGCTCAGGTTTTAATAAGTATAGATATAGATACTTCTTAAAATCTCAAATCCTCATTGTAAATATAAATAAATATTCAATAAAGTAATATTTTTATTATTAATATTATATTCATGACAAAAAAGTCATATTTTGTTTTCACTTCATTAAAAATGCACCTACCTACCTACCTTTTAAAACATTTTATTTTTTATTCTACTTGGTCAACGTTTTCGCATTTAGAATGACCCAGCGAAATTGTTTCACGGTACGCTACTGCTGTGAATTCAAAAACGAGTGAGAAAGCCTTCATTAGAAAGAGAAACTGATTATATGATAGCGACATTAACATTGTATAACTTTATGCAGTGGTGGCCTATCTGCTATTATATTATCTAAGTCTTACATAAATGCGATTTAAAATGGTTTCGAAGTGTCTATTCCATAGAATACTTGATTGTCATTAAATTCTAGGATATCTACTTTTTCATGTTTAGTAGCTGCATTTTTATTTTATACATACATTAATTTTATAAAAATTTAAAAATATCTTTGTAACGAATCTGTTAATAGGGCCAAGTCCTTTCACCTCTGTTGAAAGTAACTACTAAACTATAGGAATAATGTTTGTTAATCTGTCAAGTAAACCTACATGTAACTTTACTCAGAGGTTAAAAGATCGACCCTTAACAGGTATTTTAAAGTTTATATTTAATAGCCCTTTTAAAGAATATATAAATTTTTCTATAAAATAAACATATTGTTAATTCAGCACTAAATTCATATTAAAATACTATACGAATAATCACCGAACAATAAATAATAATAACTTTGCATAAATATTTATTTGTAAACTTTTTGGTCAGTTCTTTTTTAGATAAATAATATGCTCCATGTCCAATACTCAAGCCTTTTGTTATATCGTTTAAGAACTACTTTTTCTAAGCATATGACAAACGGCTTGCGTGAGAAAATGGTGGAAATGTCTAGATTTTCTTGTCAGCTTTTTGTTGAATAAATTATAAAGATATAAATAATATGATGGCCATGTCCGACACTCAAGCCTTTTGTTATTTAGTCTTAGAATCACCTTTTCTAAGCATATGTCAAACGGCTTGTGTGGGAAAATTGTGGCAATTTGCATACATTTTTCCAGCAACTTTCCTATGTTCTGAAAATATGAAGACCACGCTCTGCACTCAAGCCATTATTTTTTTCTGGTCTCTTAAATTCATAAGTTTTTATTGCAAAAAATTTCGTTGATGGGAAAATAACTGAAAAATCGAAAAAAATTTCTGTTAAATTTTCCAACCTAAAAATGGACTTATCCACTCGCGCCACTCAAGCCAATATGTTTTTCGGGCTAGTTACGATGTATGTTTTCATACACAGAAAGAAATAGATTAATGCAGCGGTTTTGCCAGACTAAGTATCATAATACTTATAGGAATATTGATAGAGAGTAAGATATATCTTACTACTATAATAGTAAATCAGTCAGTTAATCCCTATATTTTTTATTTCATTACCGCGGTAGCATACTCGAAAACAAAAATTCTTATAGCGCCGACTCAATGACTTATAACCAGCAGATTCAGTTTTATACAATCTGATATCTATTATCACTCTAAAATGCATTATAATCTGAGTGATACCGTTTTATATTCCATAACACCCTTTCTGTTGTCATTACCAGAAACATACAGATTTTTGGTGGTGGGGGACCCGCTACGCCACTAACCTATTAATTGTTGGCGACAATTTGCAGTCTTTTGTCTTAGCGTCGTGTGTGCACGTGTGTTAGTTTTAGGTTAGTTTTAGTTAGGTATATGAGCCAGTGTTTTTCTTGTGATCTTGTGTAACATGGAAACTTATTTAGAGACTATTATTGAGGCAGCGGTTCTTCACACTGACGTCACCACTTTCTGAGCTAAAACAGAAAGTTTTTATGTTATTTCATTTTCTTATACGCACATGAAAAGTACAGTGTGTCTTTTAAATAGTGAAATAAAAACTTTTTAATTTGTCTCATTAGAAAGTGGTGACATCAGTCTAAGAAATTACTGCCTCAAGAATTTTTTGTATTTGCTATCCAGTGATAATAAGGTTATTTTTAATTACATGCATATTAAAAAGTCATAATTTAATAATATTGGTTGCTGCCAATGTTAAACGTTTGTATATTAGGTCATAATTTTTTCACAATAAATTTAGAACATGAAAAGTCCACAGAATTCTCATTCATCAATATGTACTTATTTAAATTTAATATACAGTATGTGCCCCTTATGGAAAACTTTTTTATTATTAATTTTAGAAAAAAATATTATTCTTCATAAAAAGTTCTGCATTATCTAAAACCTAGACTACAGTCATCAAATATCAAATTTTTTCAGTGGTATACGAGGTATATGAGTTTTACTCAAGAGTAAAGTACCTTTATTCTTTATACGACTGATAAAATTTAATGGTTGTATTTCAGGTTTTAGACCATGCTTGATTTTTTATAAAGAATAAGTTTTTTCCCAATATTATTTTTTAGGAAAAAAAGTTATTTTTGCATTTTTATGTTTTATAAAAATATAATTATTGTAAAATAAATGTTTTTAGGTAAAATTTTGTTGTTTTTTTTTTTTTAATAAACCATATAAAAGGAAATCGAAAACAAATTTATTGTTTTGCTAGCCAAAATAAGTGAAATTTTAAACATTTTAGTTTATTGTCTATCGGGCACAACAATTAACAAATTTTAATAATTTTTTAATTATAAGAAGATGGTAGGTTATACATTTATATTTCAAAATTTAAGGGCTGCTATAAAAAAATTGTATTATCTATCAAATGTACAATTTCTTTATTTCAATCAGTAATTTTTTGATGAAACATCTATGGCAAATTAATGTTTATCTCACAATCTTCTAATAACCAAAAATTTATTTAAATTCGTTTATTGCTGTGCCCGCTATACAATAAACCAAATGCTTAAAATTGTCAATTTTTACGTATTTTGGTTAGCTTTAAAATATAGTATAATCGCATATCCACTATAAAACTAGTTCATAATAACTATTAGAACATTTTATAAACAGTCGTATTCTACGATATTATGACAATATAAGTGAATGATAATCCGTATGAGAATAGCTTATAAACTTTATAAGCTAGTTTTATTATCAGTACATTCGAAATTAGACTCTAGTAAGAAATTATAATACCCGCTATAAGATTTTTTTACACCTCTCATAGAGTAGTTCACTTATTTTTATGTGAACGATTGTATAATAATAATAAGACGATTTCACTGTCAATAAGTAATGCATTGGTAACCTTTAACAAACCGTGTTGTATTATGTCTATAGTCCGTATACTAACGGTTATGGAAGGTTCTAGCAATTCTTGTTCCATATCAACAACAGCTCGTTTGGCTGTCCCATATAGTATACAACAGTTAAATAAAGAGTACGAGAATTCTGGTAATGATTAGACCGCATTTCTTTCAGTGTACTCTCGATTGGCTTGTGTGAAAAAATTGGTTAAAATATCGATTTTTCTTTACAAGATTACGCCCTTATTTCAACCCTTTAGCCACTTGCAACATTAAAGCCTTTGGTTTTTCGAAGCCCACTTCTATTAATTAATCATATAGTGAAAATGGCTTGCGTGGAAAAATGACCAAAAAACACCTTTTATTTCTGTTAAGGAAAATCGAATTTTCCATATGTTATTCCCAGGGGCCGCTCGTAAATTTGCTTTCATTCTACTCAAAATCGATGTACTTTTCAACCCTCTTCGAGGCTTGCATGCGAAAATGGGGCACCTAAATCAGTCACTATCTGATGGTCTATATAGTTAAGTTGTAAAAGATGAGAAATGAATTGAGTTCCCAAAAACCATCGTTACAATGTTTTACGAACACAGCTCTTATCAACTGAGCTATGACGGACATAGTCAATGACTTCCAAATTAATAAGATAAATATATTATTTCGAATTCAAGATTTGACAGAAAATTTTTAAAACTATTAAAGAGCATTGTCTGGGAATAACACAATTTAGCAGCTTATTGAATAATTGAAATTTTTCTGTAAACGAGTTTGGATTCGAAATCTTATATTCATTTCAACAATTTGGAAGTCATTGACTATGTTCGTGATAGCTCAGTTGGTAAAAGTTTTGTACGTAGATTATAGGTGGATTCAAATCCCCCTGTGTGTAGAATGTTTTAAATTTTTAATCAAATTTGTTTTTACCTAAGGGGTTCAAAAATAATATTTATTATTTCCTAAGGGTAATTTTGGGATTTATTTGGGGATTTCAATGGAATTTATTAATCTTCTTTAGTAATTGGTTTTCTAACCGACAAGTTTCCGAAAGTTTAATACCGATCATCTAGCTAATTTTAGAAATGTTTTAGCAATATTGATATCTATAGTTCTCAGCACTATCTTCTTCAGGAATATGCTCTTTCTATCTGTCTATATTAATTTATTTTTTTAACCTGAAGTTAGAAAGCCAAATAAATTTTTTTAGCACGATTTCCTATTTTATCACACCTGAAGGAGACTTTAATGGATATAACAACTATAAGAACTCATGAAGGAGAGGAAAAGTCAACTGCACAATTTGAAAAATTTTTGGTAAGAATATATATTAAATTTACATTTTTTTTAAAGCTTTTTCTAATATCTCGTAGTACCTCGGATCTACACTCTTGGCTAAATCGACTTTAATACATAATTTTATTCGTTTTTTTACACATCTTGCAGTTTGCAACAAAATCCGTTCATTACTTATAAACATTTTCGTCATTAGAAATATCTTGTATCTGTATAAATACTAATGAGTAATACCTTGTATCGCTCAGTATTAAAGATAACAATAAATAATTAAACAAAACGTTATGAGCCTAATAATGAAAAAATAATGGCAAATAAATGTTTTGCATTAAAATCATAACCACTTTCACAGAAAAGAGTTTTTGATTCTCGTGTAAAATTTAATTTTTTTAAAAAAAGGAAACAAATTCTAGATTATCAGTTCGGCATTAGAGAAAACCATTCAACTATAGATCAGGTGCATAGAATTTCTAATGCGATTAAAAAGGCATAAGGAAACAAAGAAGTCTGTTTAGCCATCTTCCTTAAGGGCGGGCGTGGGCAATGTATTTAACATAGGCATACACAACGCTCTTTCAATGACTTTTTAGCTGAAACTACAACAAAGAGAAAAGTGAAAAAATTCCTGCCGATAATAGATATATACTACTGTTTAATAAAGGTTTTTGGTGTCTCTAACTATCAGGGATCGTTTAAAAATAATTCCCAAAATATGGTAATTTTTACGATGAAATAAAGCTAAAAATATAACAGTAATAATTACCCGATGATGAAAATAATTCTTCTTTGAATAGGCTATATACTAAAGCAACAAATGTCGTTTAAAATATTTAAATTAATTGCGTCAATTTCCTTAAAAGCTCATTGAAGTAAATTTTGGAAGAAATTATAAATCGCCATTTATATGTAAAAATTGCATAGAATATAAAAGAAAACTTCTTAAAATTCATACATGTAGCCACAGGTTAATTCGGAGCTTCTCTAATAGATGGCGCTAAAGTCGACTCGAAATAAATTCAAATACGCAGGTTCTTATTTAGGAGTTTACTAATTAATATGCATATTATTTCAATTATTAAATATATTTAATATTTGCGTAAGAGCATGAAGGATATGTAAGTAATGAGAGAAAGCCTCTTTGAGATATTGATTTTACGTTTTGTGGTCCGGAAAATGTCTGTACGGAAGTGGTAAAAATTTAGAAAAACGACTAAACGGCCTCTTAGCAAAAATCGATTGCTTGCTTATTTTGTTGGATATCGGAGCCAGAGTGTTAATGGTGCCTTTAGTTGTTTTATAAAATTGAATATTTCAAATAATTATACAAATCTAATATGCTTAAATGTATTTTTTTTTTCAAATTAGGTTTTAACTTTCATGTATCCAGTAAAATATAGGATTGTTTTTTTTTTCGACTTCTAGTTTTCAACTGTACTTTAGGTTTCGAAGATAATTCAAAAATGAATAAACAGTAAATTTTAAACTTCAAATTTAATCTAATAAAAGTTATATAGATTTGAAAAATAGATATTTAAAAAATATTTTTGGATATACAGGTTATTGCGTTTTTCCTGGCAAATAAAAATGTATGTATTTTATTTTATTTTTAGAATATTTTAGTAATACTGTATTCAATCCTTGAATATTTTTATAAAATATTACAGTATTGCCAATCATTATTTTTTTTTTGAAATTAGAGAATGATGCTGACCGCAAATTAAATTATCATAATTTAGGTAGGTTTACATTGATCTCAAAATTGTTTAATATACAGACTTATAAGATACTAAGCTAACGAATAGTGGAGATAGAACTGATTTTAAGTTCAATTTACTCAATTTTTAAAATGCATCATCGTGTATATTATCTTATCATAACATTCCTTAAAAATTTGTCTATACAACGATACCAATATGTTAGCCAATAACACATGTACATGTATATTTGATAGATAGCTGTTTTATTATTAGAAAAACGACGAAATTTTTAGTATAAAAGTTGTATTTAACAATTATTTCTAAATATACAGGGTGGTCCATAAACGAGGTGCGAATCAAATCTATACTTTTTAAAAGCAAAACACCCTGCAGGTTGTTTGTTATAAGTTATAGGATTTCGTTTAAAATTTTAATTACGGATTTGTTGTTGCAAGAAGCAAAGACAAAAATGGTATCAAAATAAGGATGTGCTTAATCCTCGCCAAGTCAATATGCTTGTTGATTCAACAAACAGGATGAAAATAAGAGGTCAATGTTTTAATTACATATTTCATGTTTAACGCTGAGACAGAGAACAAAACGAATGGCATTAGATGAAGAATGGGTGGTTACTTTAGTGGAACAGCCTAATAAATTTGATGTTTTTAAATATGTATCATCGAAATTAACTTCTATATCAACTAAGGAAATTTACAGTGCAAAAGTAGAGGCCTTAAAATTAACAGTAGACGAAAAGGGTCAAACGACTTTTTAGAGTTTTTTAAGTATTGTTGATACTCCAGATTTTTATAAAGAAAATACAATGGGCAAAGACAATCAACAGAAAACTCAAAAATTTATTAGCAAAGGATGTGGGTAGAAGCATTAATTATGCCGAAATATTTTAAGTTTGAGCTGACAGCCTCTCCGATGCATCTAACAGTAAATGGGTATCTCGGCACCTCCACAAATAGGAGTTCATTGGGAAATATTTTAGAACAATATGGCATTTACTCACAAAGACACTTACTTGCACCTATTGACTCTGGCAAAACTTGTCACATTTTTGATGGGATGGCAATAGTCCAAGGTTTGGGAAAGTCCAAAAGTTGTATATCATTTAAAGAATATGCTAATGTATTTGTAAACGTTATTTTTAGAAATAAATTTAATGCTTAAAGGATTGATGTGGTATTTGATCATTATAAAGAACATTCTATAAAAAACTCGTCAAAAGAGAGGATCCCAGAAATCAATTGATATAGAAATTGACCAACCCAATACACCACTTCCGCAACAATGAAACTTGTTTATTCATTCGATATTTAACAATAGACGTTTAACAAATTTTCCGTCAGAGCAACTTCTTCAAAATTCCATTCAGCAAAAGCATATTTAATTTGTAACTAGTGGTGGATTCGCGAATATCAATAAATATGGGACGAATTTTGAACTATCAAAAGATGATTTCTTAAATTCAAATCATAAAGAAGCTGATACTCGTATCTTATTGCACATATTGTTAGCCAAAAATTCGGAGCATTCATGCTGCATTATTGATTGCAACGATACAGATGTTCTAGTCTTAAAAATTTATTTCAAGAAGTATTTGACTAAAGAGATATGGTTCAGAACAGGGCGAAGAGACTCAAGACGATTTCTAGCAGTACATGATTTAAATTTGGATGGTATCTTCTAAAAAATTTGCCTGCTTTTCTTTCTCTGACCGGTTATGATGCAACCAGCCAATAGTCTGGCATTGGGAAAAGAAAACATATTCTCTAATCTTGAAAAATGTTTCATAAAAATGTATTTAAAAACTGCCAGTGTTACTTCCATTAACATTTTGAGGGGATTAATGGCCTCTTTAAAAACCATTGCTAAATTGCCACCGACTGAAGACGACCTAAGATAACATTGTTTAAGATGTTTTTACCAGCTAAATATTTGGCTAAGCTCTTTAAAGCCGCAGATGCAGCTTCCTAATGTTAAAGAGTATGAATAGAAAGTAGATCAAGATGGAAGGCTGATACCCACTCTAAGACTCTGTCCGACCTGCCACCAGACATAACAGAACTTACATCATGCAAATGCAAAAAAGGTACTATACACCGATAATTTTCATAAATGTACAATATTCTAATAATATTATTCTGTTCTAGACTAAGAAAGCAAAATTTGTAAATGCAGGAAAAAAATATTGGCTGTATCGGTTCCTGCACCTACCTGTATGGCACAGAAAAACTGCAGCAAAAGTTTGATCACAGCCGCTAATGTTTTGGAAAATGTTGATTCGTGTGGTGAATCTGATTCTGATTAGTTTAAAAGTCTTGTACTTATAAATTTTAATAATATTAATTTATGCTTTATATCGGGTGTTCAAATTAAAGCTAAATACCGCCTATTATAAAAAAAAAACGTTTCAGACGAAAGTTTTATAGTTTTGTGGGGAAAAATTTTTGCTAAAATCGTTTTTTTCAGCTAACCATAATATGGCCAACTTTTTTTTCGCCTACCAAAATTTTTAAGTAGCTGTTACTCAAAAAGTGAAAGTCGAATAAGAAAATTATTTCCATCTAAAGTTTCTTATTTTTTTATGTACTTTAAGAATATTTACAAAAAAATGGGGTTCCCATTTAAAAAACAAAGTCCACCTCGATATGGCCATATTATGATCAGCTATAAAAGAAAATTTTAGCCAAAATGTTTCCCCCAAAAAACTATAAAACTTTCGCCTGAAACTTTTTTTCTAAAATGCATATTTTCGGCGGTATTTAACTATAACACTTTAATTTGAACACCCGGTATTCTTTTAATTATTATTATTATTATAATGTTTTTTACATTGGGAATTTATTGTATTTTGCAAAGCAATAGCCTTACTGTTAATAATCGATACTTATATATACTGCGTCTATACCTTCAATAAATAGTTCATATTTTCTTATTTTTTATTTTCCTCAAAAAAATACAAAAATAAATCATAGCGTATAAATCAATAATCCCTGAATAAAATAATATGAGAGAGTCAAACTGATTGCATACATTTTAGCACTGAGAGAGAAGAAAGAGAGTCGAGAAGCTTTACCTTCAACGTTTGCTTTCTAGTTAAACCATGATATAACTAATTGTTTATTGCTATATTTTTGTTAATATAAAAGCAAAAAATATGGGGAAAGCACTGTTACTTTGATAATACATAGGCGAAACTTTTATGAAGAATAGTTTTTTCTCATTTAGGCCTTTGTTTTTCGTCAAATGAGAGGTATATTTCTAAAAAAAGATTTTTTATACAAATTTGTGGACGGTTGAAACCGAGATATT